TAACAGTCGTCTATGAAGACTTCTTAACAGAGTTTATAATAACCAGTAAAGAAAGTCCTTAAGTCGGGCGGTGCCGATTTTATGATACCCTACATCACCTTGCTAATTTAGTTTAATTCAAAGGACTATATATGCCGAAGCATTTGTATCTTTTAAATTCGGACTTGTATTGCCCACTTGGTGCAAAATTAATTTGAAATCAGATAAAAATATATATGGGAGCTATATCCAAATCTGAACCGATCTCGATAAAATTTGGTAAAGGTATTTCTGAGCTGTATTTGATATATTTCCCTGAATATCGTTGTTACAGAGTGCATATTACGGCTGTGGGTAACAAATACAACAAATCGGATGAACAATATATATGGGAGCTATAGATATATCTGAACCGATCTTCACCAAATTTGGCATACTACCTTCTAGACTTAATTCGGTCGTATGTGCCAAATTCCATAGCATTTGGGCAACTATTAGACGCCTGGTGCACAATAAAAAGTAAATCTGACGAAGTTATATATGGGAGCTGTATCCAAATCTGAACCGATCTCTATAAAATTTATCAAAGGTATTTCTGAGCTGCATTTGATATATTTCCCCAAATATTGTTGTTTCAGAGTGCATATTACGGCTACGGAGGACAAAAATAACAAATCGGATGAACGATATATATACATGGGAGCTTTAGCTATATCTGAACCGACTTCGATCAAATTTGGCATACTTATTTTCAGGCCTAATTTGGTTGTATGTGCAAAATTCCATACTATTCGGGCTAATATTACACGTTTGGTGCACAATAAAAGGCAAACCGGACGAAGATATATATGGGAGCTATATCTAACTTTTTATCGATTATCTCCAATTTAAATAGGGTTCGTGCTTGGGAGAAACAAATGTTGTTTGGAAAATTTCATCTCAATCGGATAATAAATACAACCTGAATTTTGTTCACAAGAATATATGGACAGACGTACGGACGGGCAGACGGACTGACATGCATAAATCAACTCAGAAAGTGATTCTATGCAGATCATCAAAAGGAACTATGGGTCTATCTTGCCTGTTATCTCGCCTGTTACAAACAAATGCACAAAGACATAATACCCTGACCACCTTGTGGTGTAGGCTGCTATTTAATGACTGAAAGGGATGTTGTTTTGGTTTATGTTGTGGAAAGGACTTCAAGATATTGTAGGTGATATTTGTAAACAATAACTTCTTTTTAACATATCTTCGTTTAACAGTTATGCCTTTTTTATTTTTCACACTTTTTCTTCCAAAGTGTAAAAAAATCATTTTCATTACAAAGAAATCTACATAAAGTGACACTAAGATGTCATACCCATGTCTTGTTTATTAAATCCCCCGCCAAGTTGACAGCATTCAAAAAAGTTATTTTTGCAAATTAGCGTCAGACAGCGAGCTGTCAACATGATGTTGCATTAATGCATACATTTTGGACAACAAAAACACATGCCAACAACAAAAAACCTCAGTTGAACATTGCGTGCAACAAATCCTGTTTTTAATACCCTCACTGAATATTAAAAGGCTAACATGAATAAACACGCACACATTCATAATTATGATCCACCATAATTTAAAGAGTCAGGCTGTCAGTTTAGCAGAAAATTTGTGATTTTATTATTGTAGCCAACGGTACAATCGGAAATTTGTGTTTCGAGAAAAAATCAAGCGGATTAGACTGTTGATAATACTCACGTGGTGGAGAGGCATGGAAGGGGTGTTATTAATGTGCGAAAAAAATCACTTGATTGGGTGGTACGGAGGCGTTTTATTAGGCCTCGATTTATTTTAGTTAGTTGAGTGTTGAAAAAAGCATGTCGACCACTTTGTAATAACATTTAATAATTTTGATCATAAAATTTCATAGTAAGCGTTTGAATCGAGAACATATCAGAAAAATTAGCAATATCAAATAATTGCAAGAGTATACAATTTGGAAACCGACCCTGCATCTCAAATACATATCATCTTTCCTATGTCCCTTAATATAATTTAGTATTAATATAGTAATATAATTTTATAATTATAAAAATGTTTTAAGTGTCTCGATTTGGCGCCCGAATACTTATTCAGTTGATTCTTTTTTTATACCCTTCACCATACATGGTATGGGGGGTATATTAAGTTCGTCATTCTGTTTAAATAATAATTTTAGACCTAACACAGTATAAATATTCTTTATATCATCGTTCTCCACTAATAAACAAACCTTGTTTTTATAAAAACAACAATAAAGGGTTAAGCTTGATCGTTTTGCAACAACAATATTCTTGATCAGAGTAAAATTCTAAGACCATATAGCCCTGTCCGTCTGTTGCAATCACGCTAGAGCCGAAATGAATAAAGATAGGAAGCTTAAATTTTGCACAGATCAGTCTTTTGTCTGCAGGCAGGTCAAGTTCGAAGATGGGCCATATCGGTCCACGATATCGTATAGCCCCAATATAACGGTACCCCCGAAATTCGGTATTTTGATGATTGTAGTCAACTTTTTCAATGAAAGTGTCTGAAAAAGGCGGAAGGGTATTGTTTACTTACCTCCCTATATTCTATATTTTGAGGAAGATAAATGTCTATATAGGTCCACGATATCGTATAGACCACATACAACGGTTATTAATCGGAGTTGTTTCAAATTTCGTATTAAGAATTCGTAATGGGTACTACAGCCTATGACAAAAAATTGCGTATGTAGGCCCACGCGTATGTAGGCCCACATATTCGGTGTTTTAATTTATTTAAGTTTAGCGACATTAACAACCGGAGTTGTTTCAAAATTTGTATTTAGAGTACGTAATGGGAACTACAGTTTATGCCAGAAAATTGTCTATGCAGGTCCACGTCTTCGTATCGCCTCCATATAGCAGTACCTCCCTATATTCGGATATTTTTTTCAAGTTTCGTATTTGAATATTGTAATGGCTTATGACAAAAGTTGCATATGCCGTTCCACGTCTTCGTATGGACTATAATCGTATTTTGTTTTTTGAATATTGTCGAAATTCGTTCCAAATGGTGGAGGGTATTCAAAGTTCGGCTCGGCCGAACTTACTGTTTTTTACTTGTTATACCCTCAGCCATATGGCTTGAGAGCGTATCATTTGATAGAGTCAAAACGCACCTAGTCGAAATAACCGTATTAGACCCTAGGTCTCTTTGGACCAAATACGTTTCAGGACATTTCAAGTTGATCTAGCGATGTCCGTCCGTCCGTCTCTCTGTCTGGTTGGTGCGCACGATAACTCACGAAGGGAGTATCCTATTTGGTCCAACCTTGGTACATCGTAATATTTTTTGTCAAACTTAGATGGGAGATGGGCAATATCGGTCCACTCCTTCTGGTTCCTCCCCCACAAAAGATCGAATTTTTCAAAAAATATATTTTCTGCACAGAAAGAGAAAGTATAATCCGATTTTTCTCCAACTTTGGAAATTCTAATATTTGTGTCAGTGCTAGGTCAGAGGTGAAAATGGACAACATAGGTGCACTCCATCAAGTGCCTCCCCCACAAAGGGTCAAAATTTTGAATAATTACAACTCTTATAAATTGTGATATAAAAATCCGATTGTCTTAAAATTTCACACATCCCAATATTTTTATTAACTCGAAGTCTGGTGCGAAGATGGAAAATATCGGTCCACTCCTTCTGGCACTTCCACCACAAAGAGTCAAAATTTTGAATATCCATGAAGCTCATAACACGCAATATTAATATTCGAATCCATTCAGGCTTGGCACATCTGAATATTTTTATTAACTCAAGACCTGTTGTAAGGATGGTAGAGATTGCACCTTTCCTTGTGGTACCTCCGCCATAAAGGTCAAAGTTTTGAAAAACCAAAACGTTTAAAAATCTCTTTATATTTTACACATCCCATTATTTCTACTAACACAAGATCTGTTGTGAAGATGGGATATATCGGTCCACTCCTTCTTGTACCTCCCCCACAATGGTTCAAAACTTTGAATATCCATGAATCTCATAAAACGCGAAATTAACATCCGATTCCATTCCAGACTTGGTAAATCACAATGCTTCCATCAACACAAGATCTGTTATAAAGATGATAGAGATCGGACAATTTCTTTTGCTACCTGTCCCACATAGGCTTCAAGATTTTGAAAAACAAAACGCTCAAAGAAAAAGAAATAAGCATTCAACTCTCTTCATATTCCGCACACCCCAATATTTTTACTAACACAAGATCTGCTGTGAACATGGGATATATTGGTTAAATCCTTCTGGTAAACTCCCCCCACAAAGGGTCATAATTTCCCATACTTATATATGTCATAAAAAAGTCGGCGATTCTATGCAAACTTGCTATATCTAAATATTTTTCTTAACCAGAAATCTGATATGATAATGTAATTTATCGAAATTTATGATTTTGTATAAAATTGGATATAAATGTTCGATTTCCTGTCAATTTTGCACATACCAATTATTTTATCTGTATTAGATGAATTGGAATATTTCCGTCACCTACATCTGGTACCTCAACATTTTCCAAAAACTTTCCCACATATCTTATATATAGTATAGGATGTAAACGATAATGTCCAAATATGGCACGTTGTAATATTTATATCAGACAATAATAGCCAACTGTTTTAGCAACCTCCCCCATAAAGGTTCAATAGTTTGAATAATCATAACTCAAGGTATTCATCTGTCGGCAAAACCGAATGATACTATTTAACTTGTTTTTTTTTGTTTTTTTTTTTTGAAAATTTCCAAATTCGTTGCAAATGGTGGAGGTTATTCAAAATTCGGCTCGGCCACAGTTATTGCATTTTTACTTGTTATTATTTCAAATTCTTAACAATCGTGGCTAAAAACAGCCCTACAACATGCTAATGAATTCTGTGAATTCTTAAACTGATACAGATGCATATCATTATTGAACACCTGTACAAATAACTATTTTTATAGTCTCCACCATAAGATAGAGGTGTTTTTTACTTTACCTATGGTCTGCCTTTTTTAATTAACAAGACATTTATTTCACATTTAAAATTCAATTTGAGCACAATCTTTATTGGAATATAAAAACAGAATTTTTCAGTGGTTTCAGTGGTTTGTTTTATGTGGCAATTTCAAATGTTTATATGTTGTGTAAGTTTAATAATGAGTTTAATTTTTAGTGTATTTTCTTTCTAAATTCGTGTAAGTGTTGTATATGATTTTGTGTGTGGAAATTCATGTATTTTTTGTATATTGTGTAATAATTTTTGTTTAACGTTCTTCGTGTTGGATATTGGGTGATTAAATATTTTTTTTTTTTTTGATGATGGTTGTTGTGTGTTGTATGACAATGTTCTATAATTATGTTTGTTAATTTAAATGTTCACTTTGTATTGTCTTTAATTTTCACTTGTCACTGGGGAGCACTTTTTGAACTTTCGCGGGCGCGATTTTAAGACGAACTGTGTCGATGCCTAATTTGCATCAGCTTAGCAACCAAAATTGCAAATCAATTTGTTGCTTATTTACTTCCAGTCAGTTGGAAGTTACCGGTGACTGCGCATTTGTATGGGTGCAACATATATTTACAATTTTGCCGCAGTGGCCGTTAACTCCAACTGACAGTGGAGATCAAAAGTTTACGCATTCGTAAACATTTCTGGGCCCCCGAGTGACAAGTGTAAATCTTCAATTCCGCTTGCTCCATACAATTTTCGGCAGCAGGCATGTTCCGGATCGGTCCAGCGAACACATATCCCAGTTGTGTGTTGAAAGCCCGTACATCCCCTAATCCAACCGCCACACACCCACTTTTGCGAATCGCATTGTATGTGTCCGCCCCTAATTCCACATCGATAGGCGTGTTCCCCCTAGGATCTGGGTCGGCGATGGCGTAATTAGTGAAGCCCCGGGTGGGGTCTTCCAACAGAGCCTCCGAATAAAGTCGCCTGGGGAGTTTGTCGCTCACCACCGCATTTACTTGCAGCGACCAGCTGCTGCTAATTCTTCTGGGTCGTATCGTGAATGTGGTTATGCGTTGCCCCTTATATATGCGGTGCTGCAGGCCAAACCGCCTATATGCCGCATATGAAATGGTGGTCATAGTTGCCGACTGGCTCATCAGTGCCCGCACCATTACGAAACCTTCCATCCCTTCGGCCATTAACCTCATCATTACGGTGGGCACCAACACCAAATCCCATGCAAAGACTGGTGCGTTTATAGCATCCATATTCAGAGGCACCTCATCCAGCTGTGATGCCCCGTGCAGGGTCGTATGGTGCCTGCTGTCGCAACGCCTGCAGCCATCCAGACTGGGGCAATCGGGGGCAAGATGGCTCCTTGCCAGACAGTTCCGACAATACCCACGTCTTTCCACTGTCTCATACCTCTGAAACGGGGTCTGTCGCCGGAACACCGGGCACGAATAAAGGCTGTGGTCCTGTTGGCATAGTCCACAGGAGTACTGCCAGTTGCTGGGTCTCTCGTTTAAAAGGCGTCGGTTGGGCCTTGCCTCACGTCTGCTTCTCGGTGGCTGGTTAGGACTGCGGGCTGTTCGATTGGGTTGTGGGGTTGGGCGGTTGGGGCTCCGGGCTGAGTTACTGGGGCTGCGGCTCCGGTCTTCCAGACGCCAGTCCTGATTTGGTAGATAAGCAGCCATATCTGTAAAAAACAAGAAGCGAGTACTAGGTTCTTTTAGGAGGAAATATCCGGCTAGTCAGTCGGAGAATAGTTTGACAATTTTGGTAATGGGTCTGCTTATATTGCCACCAGAAGTCCGTATATCCACTACCCGAGTATTTTGATCCGTGCCCTGATAAGATTTTTGAACGCGACCCAACTTCCACTCGTTTGGAGCGAGTCGGTCATCCTTTACCACTACTAAATCTCCCTCTTTAACGTTGTCTTTTTGGTATTTCCATTTGGTTCTTCGATGGAGTTCATGCAAATATTCTAACTTCCATCTGTTACAAAAATATTGAGAAATCACTCTGAGTCGTTTCCACCTATTTACTAAATTTATGTCTGTGTCTGAAACATCGGGCTCCGCTGGAGCAAGTATTGATGTCCCTATAAGAAAATGACCGGGAGTCAAGGGTGACAAATCATTAGGGTCGTCGCTAGATGGACTTAATGGTCGCGAATTGAGACAAGCTTCTATTCGGGCTAAAATTGTTGTGAATTCCTCAAACGTGAAGTTCATTTTTGGTAGACTTTTCTTTAAATGAAGTTTAAATGACTTAACTCCTGCTTCCCACAAGCCACCCATGTGCGGCGCACCAGGTGGGATGAATTTCCAACTAAGATTTTGGTAAAAATTGCTGTCAATCGTATGTGTTTGGAGGCTTTTGATAAGCGCAATTCTATCTCTTTTTATTAAATCGACAGCACCAACGAAATTGGTTCCATTGTCAGAATAAATACAAGACGGACACCCTCGACGGCTAACGAATCTTGAAAACGCGGCAAGAAATGCGTGAGTTGAAAGGTCGCTTGTTGGCTCTAAATGTATTGCCTTGGTCGCAAAGCATATAAAAAGACACACATAACCTTTTGTGATAAAACAAGCTCTTCCAGAGTAACTTTTGATGTTGAAGGGTCCCGCAAAATCGACACCAGTATTTGTGAAGGGTCTGGACAGAAAAGTTCGTTCGGGTGGAAGTGATGCCATTATTTGTTCCTGCGTCCTTTTTTTATGTATAATGCATATTTTACAGTGACGAAGAGTTTTCTTGACCAGCGACTTTAATCCAAATATCCAGAATTCGGACCTTATTATTCGAGTCATCAACTGATTTCCGCCGTGCAAAGTGAGTTTATGAACAAAGTCCACCAACAACTGGCTGAAGATTGCTCCATGTGGCAAAATTATAGGATGACGTTCATTGTATGTTAAGGCAGTAGATTGTACCAATCTTCCATTGGCTCTCACGATGCCTTTCGAATCTAAAAATGGGTTTAAGGTCAAAAGTGAACTTGTTGATGAAATTCTAGTCTTTTTCTTCAATGCTTCATATTCGTTTGTGTAGAAGAACCTTTGAGTCTGTATTATGCTTGCTCGTTTTCCATCTTGAATTTCGGCAGCTGTAAGCTCGTTTGACGTCATCGTAAGTTGTTTGTTTGATCCAGTGTTTTTCCTGAACCTCAAAGCATATGCGTATGAACGATAAACTTTGGCTAATGATGAAAAATTCTTTAGGGGGTCATCTTTTTCCTCAAACAGCGTAAAAGTTTTGACTGCTTTTGCCTCCAAAATAGTATCGCTTTCAATGGGATTTGATGGCCAACGTTCCTTAGGTAATGTGAGCCAGCGGGGTCCATGCCACCAGAGTTGTAGATTATGTAATTCGAGAGGTGAACATCCTCGGCTGGCTATATCAGCTGGATTGTTTTCAGAGTCAATGTGTCTCCATTTCTCTAGACCCACGCCCTCAGAAATCTCCGAAACTCGGTTTCCTACAAATGTGCTCCAATGACAAGGTGGCTTTTTTAACCAAGCCAACACAATCGTGGAATCTGTCCAAAATTGGGTCGAATAGTGAGAAATTTGTAGATTATTCATTATCGATACTGCCAGCTTGGACAACAGAACTGCGCCACATAATTCGAGTCTAGGAATAGAGAGTTTTTTGATCGGAGCTACACGAGTTTTTGCAGCTAACAAGAATGTACGTGCGCTTTTGTCAGTATTCTCAACTCGAATGTATATTGCTGCTCCATATGCGTTTTCCGAAGCATCACAAAAGCCATGAATTTCCACCGTACTGTCTGAGGTGTATTGAATCCATCTTGGTACTTCAAGTTTTTTTATATTTTGGCTATTTTTCACGAAATTATTCCAGTTTATTTGGGTCAAAGGCTTCAATGTTTCATCCCAATCAATTTTGTCTAGCCAGATTTGCTGCATTATCAGTTTTGCTACAACCACCACTGGCGCTAGCCATCCACAAGGGTCAAACAATTTGGCTATTGTTGATAGGACTTCTCTCTTAGTATATCTATCTTGATTTTCCATTTGTGGTGGCGTAAAAGAGAAAAAATCTCCGGATATATTCCATCGAATCCCCAATGTTTTTGTGGAAGCATCCTCGGAAATATCTAACCAATTCAGTGGCAGTAAATTTTCTTTCGGAATATCTTTGATTACATTGTGTTCATTTGAGGCCCATTTCATTAGAGTAAATCCAGCTGAGTCCAAAGCAGCTACTAATTCCTTTCTGGCCATGATTGATTCCTCCAATGTATGGCCCCCAGCCAGTACATCATCAACGTATAAATTATTCAATATTATATCCGCTGCTCTAGGGTGCGAATCTTTAACATCTTCTGCTAACTTAATGAGCGTTCTCAATGCTAAAAACGGCGCGCAGTTTACTCCAAAGGTCACTGTTAGTAATTCGTAATCCTCTACAGGTTCTGCTGATGATTTCCTGAATAAAATCCTTTGATATTTTGTTTGACTTGTGTCTAAAAGTATTTGCCGATACATCTTTGTAATGTCGGCGTTAAATGCGTATTTGAAAAATCTCCATTTCAAAATTTGTAGTACTAAGTCCTGTTGTAATATGGGTCCAGGAAATAGTATGTCGTTTAGACTTGTTTTATTCGATGAAGGGCATGAAGCGTTGAATACGACTCTTAACTTTGTTGTAATACGATCTGGTTTTATAACTGCGTGATGTGGCAGATAATAATTGGGCATATCGTTTATTTCATTTGGGTTTATTTTCCTCATATGGCCAAGTTCGAGGTACTCGAGTATCGAATTGTCGTACTGTTCCTTGATATCTGGTGTTTTCATAAGTTTCCTCTCCATTCGATAGAATTGAGCTAAAGCAATATTCCTAGAAATCCCCAATTCCTCGCACTTTTTAAATGGGAGAGTCACAACATATCTTCCATCCTTGTCCCGTATTGTTGTATCAATGAAATTCGTTTCGCAATATTGGTCTTCTTCTGACCGTAAAACTTTTTTAGGGGTCTCTTCCACCTCCCAAAAACGTGTAAGTATTTTCTCAATAGATGTTGTGTTTAGCAATGCAATTTGTTTTCGTTGGATAGCATTTCCAGGTATGGGTCCTCCGACGATCCATCCAAATTTTGTACTTTGAGTTAAAATTGATCCATAAGTTTTCATTGGAACTCCAAGTGTAAATATCAAAGGTCCTATGTCCATTCCGATGAGTAAATCAATTGGTTGACTAATGTAGAATTTCGGATCAGCAAGTTCCAATGATGTTAAATCTCTAAGTTGTGATCTGTCTAAATTTTGTGGTGGTAGATGTGATGGTAAGTTCTTTAAAACTGGAGCCCAAACTTCCAGTTTAAAGCTAGGGTCGAACTTGGATCTTAAGGTAAACAGACAAGATTTCGTTGATGTCTCTTCAACAAATTGACTTAATCCAGTAACATGAACTAAGCTGTTCCGTGTTGGTAACTTCAGAAGATTTTTAAGTTTTTCCGAAATAAATGTTGATTGTGATCCAGAGTCTATGAGCGCTCTGGCATCGTAAAGTTGTCCTCTGGTCTCTATCTGCACCATGGCTGTAAAGAGTAGGGTACCTCCAGATTGTTGCTGACTAATTTGCTTATCTTGAAGGGTCAAGGTTGTAACTGTAGCTGGTTCAAGGTTGGGTGTGGACTGTATTTGTGTTGTTTGAGCGGCGGCGCTCTTTCTAGGTTGTGTTTCCACTCGAGCTAGGTATGTATTTGTAGATTGGGTTTCCGTTCCCTTATGTAACAAAGTATGATGTCTCATTGTGCAAGTTCGACATCCAAATCTACTTTTACAATCCTTTACACCATGGTGCGCTGACAAGCAGTTATAGCATAAATGAGATGTTTTCACAATATGAATTCTATCATTTACATTTTTTCTTAAAAACTCCGTGCAATCTCTGACAAAGTGATTAGCCTTGCACACCTGGCATATCTGGGCATTTTGTGTATTATTGTTTGTACTGTTCTGTGGTTGTTGCTGATTAAAATTTGACCTTCTTCCCAAATTATTCGTACTCTTTGTGACATTTGTTTGAAATGTATTCGATAATCTAGGATTGTTGTAAATGGGTTGTTTCTGCTGAGAAAATTTCGAAGTCGTAGGCTTTATATTTCCAACGGATTCCATTGTTTTGAATTTGTTCGTTAAAAATGTGTTGAATTGTTCCCATTCTGGGAGTATTTTACAGTTGCTTAATGATTTCTCGAATTCCTCTAGAAAATTTCTTGGTAATTTTGAAGAGCAAAGGTATATTAGAAGAGGATCCCATCCTTTGACATCGACTTCTAGCAATTCCAAGGTCTGTATACAGCTGTTGACAGTTCGTTGTAATTTTTGTATCGAATGACTTGAATCGGCAGAAACTCCAGGTAGATTAAAAAGTGTTTTTATCTCCTCATTTACTTGCATCCGTTTGTTTTCATACCTATCACTAAGATTTTTCCATGCAAGTTCAAATCCATCATTAGTCAATGGCACGTGACTAATAATTTCCTTTGCTTCCCCAGTGGTTTTTTGTTTCAAGTGAAATAGTTTTTCTACGTTGCTTAGCTTTGTTCCTTTTATATAAATTGCCGTGAATAAGTCTCTAAATGTGGGCCATTCTCGATATCCTCCTTTAAAAGTGTCCGTATCGCATGGTGGTAAGCGAGATACGGAAGCAAAATCCCTATCCTTTCCCTGTTGTGTCGTTAATGACTCTCGTTTTGTTTTTTCCAACATCTGTTTTTCTCGAACATTCTGTAATTGAATGTTGACGGCACTTAAAGCCTTTTTATATGCGTCCATCGCCTCCATGTAATTTTTCCTTAACTTGTTTTTATCAATAACCCTTTCTCCTTCCTTTGCTTCATGCTCTCTGCAATCGATATAAGCTCTCCTTACTTGACTCCAATTTGAATTCAATTCTAAACGTGTAGTTTCCAAAGTGTCCACAGTATCCTCTGGGTTGGTAATTGAAAAAATCGAAATAAAATCCAACAAGTCGTTGACGCTGTTAGCGAATTTGTCGCTTAGTGATTTGTCCATCTTCTAAGTTGTGCGAGCAACCTTTCAAAAAATTTGGTTTATTGTCCAAAATCCAAAAGAAGCCCAACGAGAAGGAGTTACTCTGTTTAGGAATTCAACTTTTCTTCAACTTTTTGTGGTTCAAAAGCGAGAAAGTATCTTCCTTTTAAATTTGCCACGAATTACCTATTGGGTCAATATTTCCAAAGCCTACCGAGAAAATCTGAACAAATTTAACTTTTTGAGAACGCTTCGACTGTTATAAGTTTGTCAATCCAAAATCTGGAGAAATGTTTTTCCAAAATTCGTCCTTACGTATTCGAATATAGTTGGATGAGCGAAATGTCAACTGAAAGAAGTTTTATCCGATTACAATAGAACAAGAGATTCCGCTTCAAGAAAAACGAATTAAAGAACAAAAAATAAAAAAAAAATCTATAAATTCTTCAATCGATGAACACATGTACCCACGATTTGAAAAAATCAGTGAAATTGTATAAAAAAAGTCAGAAACTTGAAGAGTAGTTATTGGACAGCTCCGTCTATCCACCAAGTGAGATGTATGCCAAAGTAGAAAATGGTTGCTGGGTTGTCGTAAAATTTCGAAAAATGCAAATTCCAAAATTGCATATAATCTCTTATGATCTCCTTTTTTAGGAAGCGTTTATAGCTTGTTTAATTTAAACTTTTCTCCAAAAGTAAGTTTCTTTAAAGTAGGGTCTGAATATTTCTCTAAAGCGAAAAATATTCTAAGTGCGCTACGATATTATTCAACGACGAAAAAACAATTTCGGTGGACAAAAAGATTTTTGGGTCAGAACCCCGGATATTGTTTCCAAAAAGTTTTTAAAATGTAATAAAATCCGAAAATATTCCAAAAAATGAAAAATTTCTGGGTCAAAAAAACAGCTTTTTTCATCAAAAAGAATTAAAAAGGTTGCATAATTCCCAAAATGATTGCAAAAAATTTAGAATATTTTAGATCAAGCAAGAAAAAAAAGCTGAGAAATTATAAAAATTAATTATATTAATTAAAAAAGATATGAAGATAATATGGTTAATTAAATTCCGTCTGTCCACCAGACGCTGATAAAAAAAAATGTTTCAAAAATGTTGATTTTGTCTGTCCATCAGACTTCCACAATTGTGTAGAAACTGTAGTAAATCACAGAGGTTAGGATTTATGGCTTGAGTCTATGTCACCAGACTTTGTTATTTAATTCGCTATGTATTTTGCGGCGTTATGTTTTTCAAATATGTATATGTATAATTTGAGATATAAAGTTTATGTATTCGTAGTGACGCCAACTTTCCAAAAAATTTCCATATAGAAAACTGTATGTACAAATATGGCGAAGTTAAATGCCTGAACTCCACGTTCAGCTAATTTCCACGAAAAAATGGCGTTTATATATTCGTAATGACGCCAACTTTCCAAAAAATTTCCATATAGAAAACTGTATGTACAAATATGGCGAAGTTAAATGCCTGAACTCCACGTTCAGCTAATTTCCACGAAAAAATGGCGTTTATATATTCGTAATGACGCCAACTTTCCAAAAGAATCCACTTTTTTTTGTAACGGCAACTTATTTTCTGTGAGTTTTTTGTATTAATGTCCGTCCGTCCAAAAGAACACCGATATAATTTTTTGCCAATTTTTAGGTTAATATTCCCAAAAATTGCGCAAAAAATGTCAATGGGGCAAGCAGCAGATTCCAAAAAGGTGTCAAAGAAATTTGCATATATGGCTCCGAACAAATATTAATGATCTGCCAGAACCAAAAATGCTTTCTGTGTCTTTAAAAATTCAAAAACTTTCCACAAGTACTCACTTTGACGAATTTCTGGGTCTTTTCTGGGCTTTTCTGGTTTTATCTCCTCGAATATGCTGGGTCTCCTTTTTATGTTTTGTAGGTATTTTTGTATGTTGTAGTTTTATACCACTTTGCACTGTTCACTGTTTGTACGTATATGTGTTTCTTCTGTGAAAAAAAAAATTTATAATTTTTATATATTTTTTATTTGAAATATATTTTGCATTTTTCGCACTGTTTTCCACTGTGCAAGGTCCGTTTTTGCACCACTGTGAAACGACAATTCGTTTTGCAGGGTCACTTTTAGCAAATACACGAATTTTCCAGTTTTTTCCTGTTTTCGTAATTTTTTCCACTTTGCACCACTATTCTTTTTTTTTGTACCACTGTCGAATTTTTTACCACTGTTCAACTTTTTATCACTGTTCAACCTTTTATCACTGTTCAACTTTTTATCACTTTTTTTTTTTTTTTTTTTTTTAATAATCTATTTTGTTCTTTTTATTTTGTAATGAAAACATTTTTTTGTTACACTGTTAATGAACCCTTTGGTTCATTATTCTCTTTTGTTCCGCTTTGTATTTATTTGTTCAATTTTTTTTTTCTAAGCAGCTCCTTTTGTTCTATTTTCTATTTTCTTTCCTTTGATCTTGTACTTCACGGTTCTTATGCTTTATGTTTTAACTTCTTTTTTTTTTTTTATATGTTCGATGAACTTTTTGTGTTTGTCATGCACTGATGTATGTATGTAAACCGCCTTGTTTTTCGTTTTTAGTTATTTAAAAAACTTCACTTTTATCCGGCTCGAAGGACCAAATGTTTTTTACTTTACCTATGGTCTGCCTTTTTTAATTAACAAGACATTTATTTCACATTTAAAATTCAATTTGAGCACAATCTTTATTGGAATATAAAAACAGAATTTTTCAGTGGTTTCAGTGGTTTGTTTTATGTGGCAATTTCAAATGTTTATATGTTGTGTAAGTTTAATAATGAGTTTAATTTTTAGTGTATTTTCTTTCTAAATTCGTGTAAGTGTTGTATATGATTTTGTGTGTGGAAATTCATGTATTTTTTGTATATTGTGTAATAATTTTTGTTTAACGTTCTTCGTGTTGGATATTGGGTGATTAAATATTTTTTTTTTTTTTTGATGATGGTTGTTGTGTGTTGTATGACAATGTTCTATAATTATGTTTGTTAATTTAAATGTTCACTTTGTATTGTCTTTAATTTTCACTTGTCACTGGGGAGCACTTTTTGAACTTTCGCGGGCGCGATTTTAAGACGAACTGTGTCGATGCCTAATTTGCATCAGCTTAGCAACCAAAATTGCAAATCAATTTGTTGCTTATTTACTTCCAGTCAGTTGGAAGTTACCGGTGACTGCGCATTTGTATGGGTGCAACATATATTTACAATTTTGCCGCAGTGGCCGTTAACTCCAACTGACAGTGGAGATCAAAAGTTTACGCATTCGTAAACAGAGGGTATGTTAAATTTTTCGTTACGTATGATCGCCATAATATTTTAAATAGATTTAAATTTGCCGATCTGAATTTAATGATAATCCCACCTATGAAAATTGTTCGATATACCTAATGTATTGTAAGGACCTTGTTTTTAAAAGCTCTTGTGACATCTTCCATCCGGTTTTGTTGTTGTCCACCCTTCATAGAATAGGCTATTGAAAGGTATACAAATCGTATATATATTTCAAACGAACAAACATACCCATATACTTGCGTAGCTTACCAAAGGAAATTATAACAATTGTTAACAATAGAATCTACAATTTAAATTGAGCTCACACGAAAGTTTAACGCAAAGAAAAATTTATGCAATTTAATGGCTAGCATGACATGATATGAAACCATGCCACAGACGCCGTGACTTATGGTTCGAATAATTAAAACTAATTGAAACACAAAGTGATGACTAAACGTGACTTGTTTGGTGGCAATCAAAAAACTGTTACCAACATAAGTGTGTATATACACATATGTGCAGATAGAACTAACAATATTTACAACAAACAATAAAACGTAACCGAATCAAGTGGCGTTTATTGAGAGTAACTGGAAATAAATTAAAAATGGAAATTGAATGTCAAAATATCGATCGATTTGATGTTATTGTTTGAAAAATGAAATAAAAATATTAGCAGGAAAAAAATGAACATCAAAGAGAGCAGTAACAGATGTTGGAAAGTTATTTAAATAAATAAATATTTATTTCTTAGCTTTTATATTTTTGGAAACACTGGAATAATTGAAAAACGCTAGCAAATCATTGAATTTTGTAAACAAAAGTAGTGTTCTGTTAAGTAAAAAAAGACGTATTTTTTGTCCTTTTTCGAAACAATGATTAAAAACACCTTTAAAGGGAAATCAAGATATTCTTCAAAATTATTTGTCATAAAATTCTTCTATAGGTCCTAAAGACGTCAAAAGTTTAAATCTTACCTAAACGGCATAAATTTATATATATATATATATATATGTATATATATATATATATATATATATATATATATATATATATATATATATATATATATATATATATATATATATATATATATATATCTATATATATATATATATATATATATATATATATATATATATATATATATATATATATATATATATATATATATATATATATATATATATATATAAATCACATTTTAGGGTTTAAGCTTAATTTTAGAAGGATGCCGTCAAAGACTGAAATATTCTTCATTAAAGTTCACTGTAAGTTACCAAAGAAAAAATCTCAAAATCAAAGCAGTTAAAACGGCGACAAAGTTCGGTAGGGCGAACTTTTTATACCTACCACCATTTGGAAGGAACATGAAAACTTAGAATAATAAAACTTAGAAAATACCGTTTAAATAACAACCGTTACACGGGAGCTATACGATAACGTGGACCTGCTTAAACGATTTACTGTCATAGGCTGTAGTACGCCTTACGATTTTAAAATACGAAATTTGAAACAATTCCGGTCCATAATATATCTAATATCATCAAAATACCGAATTTTGGGGTTTACCGTTATAAAGGGGTTATACGAAGATGTGGACCAGCATGGTCATGGCAAAATACATAGTCTTGCAAAATATTACCCTTCTATCTCAATTCATTGAAAAGATAGCGTGATTACAACAGACAGACGGACACACAGACAGCAGGACATCGCAAAATCGACTTAGATTTTTACGCTAATCAAGAATATACGTATACGAAACGGACCGAACTTTGCATACCTTTCACCATTCTGTAAAAAACATTTCTAAATAAAAATATCAGGATACAAATCTGATCTGCAAAAACAAGTGAGATCGGTTGAAGAATGCAGTTAAAGTTTTTAAATACAACAAAGTGCATGGAACCGTTATATGGGAGCCATAACAAAATGGGAAGAAATTTCTACAACAAGGATTGATAACTATTGCAGAATATCGAGAGGTGCCGTTATATCCCCTATATTACAGAAAAACGTTGACATATATAGAAAAAGCACTGACAAAGAAATTAGAGCAAATTACGAACTCTGAATTTGACTTAAATCGCCAATAGGCCGTTATTTGGGGGCCATATGAAATCGTTTTATATATTTTTTAAGTTTTTATTTTTCGAGAAGAATTTTAGAATTTCAACTCTATTCCTTCACCCAATACCAAATGAGTTTAGATTTAGTACGCACATCCAAAACAATCTACATCTCTCCATCCTAAACATCAACAGTGATCCACAATTATTACCATTTAGTACATTCCGAACATTTATAGTAAGCATTTGCGAAGCCACCACCACCATATCCACACCAGATACCAACAAAGACCTCAATATTAAACTTCGGGATTCCAGAGCTATTATTTTACCCAATACCAAATTTAGTAACACTTAGTATCTTTCGAACAATTACGTTACACTTCTCCAGGAACACCTCCATACCTTAACAAGAGATACCAACAATGGCCTTAACATAACATTTCGGAATTCCAGCTGTATCGGTTCACACAAATCGTAATCTTATTTGCAAATTTCAGTATTCCAGCTCAATCGGTTCACCCACTTAGTGCTTTTCGTGCACATAAGTACAAATTTAGAAAATTACCTCCATATCCCAATCCTACACTACGCCAGTAATTTTAATTTTAAATGTCAGAATTCCAGCTCCATCCGTTCCTTTAAATTGTACCAAATTTAGAACCTTTTAGTATTTTTCGTATACCTCCTTCCATCAACCCTACTCCCCAACCTTGGTTCTCATTGCAAGTTTCAAGTTTTTAGCTCTAACCGTTCGTATGATAGGAAATGTAGGAGATTTTAGTATTTCGTACATTCATAGTGTGAATTTCCAAAAACCCTCTGGTATATCCATCATACACTTTATCAACGGTCCTCATTCCAAATTTAAGAGTTCCAGATGTACTGGTAGAATATAAAGGATACCTTTTAGTACTTTTCGTACTGTTTTACTACGAATTTCCAATAACACAACATTTTCTGACCTCTTCGAACCAAGAGTGTCCCTCTCCCAAAATTTCAAGATTCAAACTACAGCTGTTTCGTCTGGGCCAATTCAGCCAATTACTTTAATTGTTATAGATTTTATATCCTCCACCATGGAGGGTACATTAACCCATTTGTTTCAGAGACATTTGCTTTTGATGTTTTATTTATCATTTCACGTCCGCTTTTATGAAATTGCATGTGACCGGAAGTAGTATTCTCCATAGGTTGGGTTAATCAGCGCTTTGATTTTACCCATATTACATATGACTGAAAACGATAGCATCACAGGGATTGGCTTAAGTTTGTCATTTCGTTTGTTATACCTCGGAATAAGCATTTTAGACCTTAAAAAGGATATACACTCCTAATCAACATAAAAATCTAGCATTATATTCCCGTCTGCCTCTCAGTTTGTTGTAATCACTTTTTTTCCGAACAGAATGGAGTTGGTGGACAAATTATTACAAAAATATATATTTTGGGTACGTAGAATTTTTGGCATTGAGAATGGGGTATATGGGTCCATGGTTTCTTATAGAGCAAATATATCGGTACCATACAATTTTAGGTATTTTTGAGGTAATAGTCACCTAATTTTCTGTAAATAGATTTTCCGAATTTTCTGTAAATAGGCAGTTTGTGTACCCAACGGAGAGAAAACCATATAAGTCCCCAGTAACGGTACTTTCCGATACTAACGTTAACGTATTAACGTTATTTTATTCACAAAGTTTGTGTTAGAAATTCACATTATGTCCACATACTTTATGAGATAATTCTGTCTGCAGGTCCATATTTTTCTTGTAAATCCTATATAACCCCCTAAACTAAGCTATTTCAACGATTTCAGACACATTTTTCAAGGGAATTTTTTCAAAGTTGATATTTGGTTTTAAAATAAAGTGTCACTGGTAGGTAATTGGCTATGCTGCCCCACGTTTTCGTAAAGTTCCCATGTAACGTGTATCATTATAGTATCAATTATTTACGCTTACGAAAACTAAATAATTGAGAACAGCTAATATTTACTTAAACCAGCTTGTTTTAATAACTTTACGAGGACAGGTCAGAAACTTCTTAGCCTAGCACAAAAAGCGCGGTATAAACATAAAAAGTTAAGTGTTTTGGAAACTTCCATCTCTGTTATGAACACATGTTTCGATGTGGCAATTGCTTCATATAGAAACAGGTGTTCAAGACGAATCCGCAATTTTTTTACAATGGAAAAATTAGAAATGCGTGTTGTTATTAAATATTTAGATAAAAGAGGTTTATCGGGACAAGAAATTCATAATGATATGGTGAATGTGTTAGGTGAAAGTGCTCCTTCATATGCAACAGCAAAATATAGAGTTGCTGAATTTAAACATGGTCGTACAAGCATTAAAAATAAACCACGTAGTGGACGTCCAAAAACAGCAACAAAAACAAAGTGCATGATATGGTATTAAATGAGCGACGAATATATGTGCTTAAAATTGCTAATATCATGGGCATCTCAAATGATCGTGTCCATTTAATTTAGCTTGAGGAACTACAGATGAAAAAGCTTTCTGCAAGATGGGTGCCGCATTTGTTAACAATCGATCAAATAATTAATATTTCGCATAATAATTAATATTTCTTAGGTTTTGGATCGTTTTAAGCGAAATAAAATGGGTTTTTAAGCGTCGTTTCATAACTGTTGATGAGACATAGATTTACCACTGTACTCCAGAGACAAAAGAACAATCCGAACAATGGAACGAAGCTGGAAGGCAAAAACAATTTAATCGGCTGGTAGGGTTATGTCAACGGTTTTTTGGAACTTCAAAGGTATTTTATTGATTGACTATCTGCAAAAGGGACATTTGGACATTTTCAGATTAAGATTCCTCTGAGTTCGTGTATTTTAGGTATATCGAGTATTCGCAATATTGCAGATAAAACCAGTAAAGAAAGTCTTAAAGTCG